GCGGATGGCCTCGGCGCCCTCGGTCTTCTTCAAACGGCCTTCATAAAGATCCCATTTCTCCGGGTTGTCATAGTAAATGGAGGATATGGCAGAGTCCGCGGGGTCAAACTCTTTGCTAGGGTTGAAGACGAGAACGGGAAGGTGCTTAAGGATAATGAGTTTTAGCTCAGTAACGTTGTCTGGATGCACCCAATATTTGGTGGTCTGGCGCACAAAGCTGCCCTGCGATCCGCCAGCAGCGGTGTCACCCTTGACGGGATTTCCTCGCGTCCGGACGTTGTTGTACATGTTGGATAATTTGACCACTGCGGCGTCAAAGTCCTCATTATAGAATGGCTTCTTCTTGAGCGCGGCATCGAAGGAAGGTCGGAGGTGCCAATTGGTCATTTTCTGCCATGCGTGTCAGCACTGTTAAGGAATACCACCCACATAGAGATAGGGCAACAAACGTCATGCTTTTTTATTATCTTGTAGAAGCCGGTATAGTTCACTTGGACATATTTAGCGAGGTCATGGACGTCGGCAATAATGTCACTCAAGTCTTCCTCGAGCAATATGAACTCTTCCTCAGAAGGCCCTTGTTCTGCCAACCCTCGCTCTGTAACCTTGGTAACGACCTCCTTTACTTCCCTCTCGCTAACGGCTATACGGCGTTCGATTTCAGACTCCTTGACTTTCGTCTTAGTGTAGACCTTGCCAAGCTCTGCGTAGAGCTTGGTGATAAAGCGTTGCTCATCTTCTTCGGTCCACCTATTATGTTGTTGAGCCTTGGCCTTGCTCTTCTTCTTGCCTGCACTCGACGGTCCGGGGGCATCTTCGTCAATGTCTACAAGGGGTCCGGAGGCGGCCTTGAGGTCTGCCTTCAGCCCGTCATAGTCGATATAATGCCATTGATATTCGCGAATAATGCTAGAGCGTAACTGCTCTCCGAATTTCATGACGGCTAGGCCCAGATGGGCACGCCACTTCTTAATATAATCCGCACGTTGGGTCAACAACCAGGTGATGTTTCTTGTTGTTACCTAAATCTACAATAATCAGCATGAACAACTATTAAGAAGAAAACTTGAAATTGGCGGTAGACATATTTATGAATATTATAGAGTTGAAGGTGAAGGCCAAGAAAAAGTAGAGTGTTACTGTTTATTAGTGTAGGTATTCCAAGCGGCAGTCAACCAATCAATCAATCGATTCACGTCTCTCGCTGCTGATAGGCTTGGAATACCCAAATAGGAAGCTTTATGGACACGTGCAGCTTAAGGTTAAGCTTGATCAGTGATACCCAAAAATGTTGCGCGACCAACCAAGCGAAGGTTAGACAGATGGCAACCAAAAAGTAATATCGAGAGAAACTCACGTCGCGATCGCCGCTCTGGTTTTGGGAAGTTTTGGGGTGACGTCCATTGCCCAATCAACCAGAGTCAATTGGCACGTGGCTGTGCTTATTCCGGGGCATAGTATGAAACGTCCACTGGAGAAGATGCCACACCGTACGGATTGATGAATGTGTTGACTACAGTTTATAACGTACCTACTGAACGGTCAATTACATAATGTAACCTTGGAAGTATCATGTCTTCGGCTTCTGTACTGTATGGAAACGATTCCGCTTTCCCCAAAAACACGGCACATTTCCGTTGATCGACCCCAGAATTTTTTTTAGGACCCCGCGTTCACCAATTTGCAGTATAAATCCAGTGTAAACGAAGCTTGTCCCGCACTACGGAATTTGGAGAGGATGCATTTACTTCGTCTAGCATCCAGCTTCGGCAGCATCCTCCCTCCTCTTCCCTAGAACAAACCAACTCGACCCCGCAACAATATGCCCGACGACACCCTCGAGACGCGCATCCCGCCAACGTGCCCGGCCTCGACCTCGGAGATCCTCCTCCGCGCCTGGAACCACGACCTGGCGGCGCTGAAGCCGCTGCTCAACGTTCCGGGGCGCGCGAGCGTCCAGGAGCCGACGACGGGGGAGACGCCGCTGCACGCGGCCATTCGGGGCAGCGCTGCCAATGGGAGCGGCACGGCGGATGTCGAGGCGGCCAAGGCCGTCGTGCACGAGCTGTTCATGAACGGTGCTATCTGGAACGACGTTGACAACAACAACGAGACGCCCGGGTGCGTGGCCGACCGGTTGGGCCTGAAAGACCTCTACACGTTATGCGTGGAAGCGGGCGTGCGGGCCGAGCTCCTGTTCGGCCTTTTGAATGGGTATGAGACGCTTCAGTCTGATGACAGCGACGAGGAGGAGCAGGAGGCAGAAGAACAAGGACAACAGGGCGGAGAAGGCGAGGAAAATGCAGAGACACAAGGAGAGAGAAAAGAAGACGTTGCGGGAGAAGACGCCGCTGAAGCGGCCACGGAAGAACTCGAGGTCGTTGTCGATTGGGATCGCGCTTTCGTGCCACCGAACCCTGCTACAGGCCCCGACGTCAAAAGCGAGGAGTACCTGCGCTCGGACCTGACGTATAGCGACGGCAAACTAGTCGACTCTTCCCAGAACGGCGTGATGATGGCGTGGGAGACGTCGATCATGCGTGCTTCCGTGGACGCGCTGATGTCAGGTTCACCAACTGGCCGGCAGATCCTGAATATCGGCTTCGGAATGGGTATCATCGACGGCATGTTCAGTGAAACGAAGCCCGCGAAACATCACATCATCGAGGCTCATCCGGCGGTTCTCGAGCACATAAAGGGACCTGATTGCAAGTTCGGGGCGGAGTGGGAAGCGAGCGGGCCGACCGAGGGGGCATACAAAGTCTATGCGGGTAGATGGCAAGAGGTGGTGCCCAAGCTTCTGGCAAGAGGCGGGTGGTACGATGCCATCTACTTTGACACGTTTGGCGAGGACTACAGCCAGCTACGGATGTTCTTCACCGAGTACGTGCCAGCGCTACTAGAAGACCACGGCGTGTTTGGGTTCTTCAACGGCTTAGGGGCCGATCGAAGGATCTGCTACGATGTTTACACGCAGGTAGTCGAGATGCATCTCAGTGACGCCGGTTTGGATGTCGAATGGAAGGAGTTGGATGTAGACATGAAAGACTTAGGGAAGGAAGGGGAGGGAGATTGGCAAGGTGTCAAAAGACGATACTGGACCCTTGATAGTAGGTTGATCCGTATCAAGCTTGACCTTGACGTTTCTTCTTCATACTGAGCTAACCTGTGACAGAGTATCGACTTCCTACCTGTACTCACCTGCGCTGATAGACTCCGCCGTAACACTTCTCGCGTCCCTGGAATAATCCCAGAAAAAATGTACTCCTCTAGTACTCCGTCCAGGCTATTCCCGATCAGAGGTTTTCGGGCCAATTAAAGAGACTAGGGAATAACATTATTTCAGGGGTTGTAATGTAAGACTCGATGTGCCTCTTTCTGTGTTTCCGTGGGGTTGGTTAAGATGACCGAAGTAGCGCAGAGCTGGGCCGGTAGGAAATGCTCCAACGTTGCCCATTACTCCAAGAAATGGTTGATTAGAGATGGACGCCAACTATCTGATATCGTCGTAACTCCGAGGAAGTATCATCTCGTCAAGCCTGTCTGCCGTGCGGGTTCTGTGTGGTGCCGAGATGCTTATCTACTAGGGCTCCGTGCTCGACTTGACTACACGCCACTCGAGGATCGCGCTCGAGACGAGGGCCAACTCTTACGCTGGCTATAGACTAGTTTTATTTACGCCAAGGTGTATATACACGCACTGGGCGTTCCTCGCTAAGGTCGCCGTCTCGTCCGGCAGTATCTTTGTGTCTATTGCGTGGCCAGTCATCCTTCGAGGAGGATCTGTGGCGGCGCAGATGGGTATGCCATTCGTTTCCTAGGTATCTCGCCCCGTCTTAGGCTAGAATTAGGAGATTGTGCGTCCCATATGTGATAAATCTTAGGCATCCCGCAAGGGCTCCTAGATCACGCCTAGTTCTTTGCACAATTCAATGCGTATGCATCCTAATCTTTGGCATGACGTCTGCCTACCCCTGATTATACGAGCCGGCGTTTCCAGGGCTAGGACTCGGGCTCGAGGTGATTCAATTCGGTATTTATTTATCCATCAACTATGCATCGAGCATTTACGGAGATCCTGTAGTCAGAGCGGTCACACGCATAGGTTGAGCGCACATAGAAGGACGTCGACCATAGGTTCGCGATGGGCATCGATTGTCTGGAGCTAACAACCTGATGATGATCGCTGTGTCCACGGATGGGAGCGTAGGTTGTTGGTCTTGCGGTTACATATGAGAGCGTCTGGTCATCGATCACAGGGCTATCTACGGAGGCGCCTTTCCAAAGACTGGGCTAGGGGAAGGCTTCGAAGAGCCATCAGCGGCATACTAACCACTGGGTGCTAGCCAACCCATTTTTCTACGTAAAGAATTAAGAACGCTTACAACCTAAACCTTTAGGTGATTTCATAGAGGGTTGTCTTGGTATATAGCTGAACATTCATAAGAGTGTATCAGGGTCGACTATAAGACTCGTCCCCCTTCTCCTTACCCCCCCGAATATCACGAGATATAAAGCACGCACTGTGATAAAACCGGTACCATTACATAGCACGTACTAAAACGAGTCGATTGTTATATATATTACGTGTTTATAAGACGTCTATAGGCAGGGTATCACGCACTAATACGAAGATAAGGATAACGAGCAATATACAGTATCCGATTTGTATAGAAAATGGGCCAGCTAGCAGCACCCGGCGACTAAAGATGGCGGACAGCTATCGAAAGCTGCTTTACGGATCTACGGCCTGGACCTTCAAAAGGGAACTCCGTAAGTACATAGATATTGCTTGTTTAGACTCCTTCTGTTATTCTCAGGTCTTATATAAACGTCGCGCACATATCATATCACCAAGGCTGCATACAAATCCGTACCACATAATAACCCCCCTTCTCCAACCCCGTAATCACTTTATTTATATCTGAACTACTAAAAAGAGCCCTCAGGGTCCCAATTATATGGGACCTACGTTAACCCGGACAGCAAAAGGAATAGTCTGCCCATCACTGGAGTCGAACCAGCCACCTCTCCATTACTAGTGGAGCGCTCTAACCGATGAGCTAGACGGGCTTCTTCTTTCTTATTGGCGCCATGGCGAAAAAGCCACCGAACAGCTATAATAAAACCTATCGGAACAAAGGTCTAACGGAATACTTTCGGGACCGGTGTGCAGGGACGGTGAAGTCTACATTTTATTATTACTTGGTTATGTATTTGTTGCTTTAGCTGCGATCGTAATCTGTATCCAGATCCAATATCGTTTTTGTAGATTCGGTATTACACAGGTAAGTAGCTTGTGGTGTTTTCACGCAATTGGTTAGCGGCGTGTGATAGAACGGGAGGTGTTACACGCGATACCCTTATATTCCTTAAGGGTGGTGGTGGCAGCTCACTTCTCGTAGCTAGCATTTGATATGTATCGGTCTAGCTGGGTTTTTATTCGGCAATGTTATAACTTATTATGAAGACATCCGGAAGAATTGAAGAAACACATCGCTTAACCTTTTCTCCATACGTCTTTGGACCTTGTCTACGTTTATCTACTCAGAGGAATCCAAAAGGTTTTTTTCATACCGTATCCAAGACCCCTTTCATCTCCTGTGGCTGTTACTTATTTGAAATTCTCGGGATGCAGGATACCGGCGGTATTGCCCTTCTGCACTCTCTTGAGCGTGAGAGCAGCGATAAGAGCAGCACCAACACCACTTCCATCTTCGGCGGCAAGAATCTCTACTGGGTCTTCCTCCTTCGGGTTCTTCTTGGCCGGCCAATCGAGGATCTCCCGGAGAGCTTGCGCGCCTCGGGCCTTGAAATGCGGATACTTGTTGAACACGGAGCCGTCGGCACCTACGTGGCAAGGCTGGAGGTCCTTCTTGGTGCAGATGGCGGCGACACCACAGCTGGAGAGACGGGCAGCACGAGTGCCGATTAATTCGGCGGTTCGCCGGATGAGTTCAAGCTCGGGACGAGTGCAGGATAGGTGGAGCTTATCATGGAAGAGGTCTGCGGTCTCTTGCAAGTTTTCGAATGGGTCGCTATTTAACGTCAGCACACGATTATCGAAGAGTGTACGCATATTTTGCAAGCTTACTCTTCGATGGCCGAGAGGAAAGACGAGTCGAGAGTGTATGGCTTCCGAAGCTGCTTAATGTCCTGACCCTCAAAGATGTGAACATCCTTATTGTCGTGCAAATCAACCATGATCAACCGGAAGATTTCGCCAAGGTACAGGCCAGCGATGCACTTTTCGAAAGCTTGTTGGCCTGGACGAGGAGACTCCTTGTCGACGATAACGTCATAACGAGTCCGCGGAAGAGCCTTGTGCTCGTTATCAAATGCACCCCACTCACAGTTGATCACCATCGGCAACTCTGGAGGCAAGTTCATATGCGCTAGTTTAGGGATGGAACCACAGTTCTCCATGTACGCGGCATTGCACCCGGTTCCGAAGATACAACCGATCTTCATCTTGGGGTCGGTGTAGGCTGAAGCAATCATGGTCCCAGTGGTATCATTGATCAGCGCTGACACCTTAATAGGAATTTTCTAGGTCCCGGTTAGCATGGCTCTGTGGCCGCTAAATAATGAAATGGCTTACTCGTTCGTCCAAGGCGGCCTCTAGCAGCGGAACGACGTTCTTTCCTTCAACACCGTTGATGTCGAAACCCTTGGTCCATCGCTGCAGAATACCCTCATCGATGTAGTTCTGAGTAGCGGGATAAGAGAAAGTAAAACCAAGCGGAATCTTTGCTTGAGACGGAGGAACCTCTCCGTGGTGAGTTTCAATAAACTGCTTCAGACATTCGGCAATGTATTCCCAGAGCTCGTCACATTCGCCAGTCTTCAGTTCCTCAGGCATGCGATATTTAGATTGGATGATGTCGAACTCCGACTTGTTCTCCGTCAAGATGATCTCGCAAACACGCAGATTAGTACCGCCCATATCAAGGGCCAAGTAAGTACCCGTCTCATATCCATCTGGGAACTCCATAACCCAAGTTGGATTCATAGGCTATAGGCCAGAAAAGTTAACCACTGATGCGTGTGCGGTAGGGATATCGAGCCTCGAACTCACAATATTGCCCCCCTCAACACTCAGACCTACGCTTATTAGCACTCGTGGTATACCTAATAAACCAGAAGGGACACAAACCTTTGTCTAGCTCGGACACGAAGTGTTTAGTAATTGCCTTAAGCGCCTTGGTGTCGACCGTAAATTGCTCTTCCAGTTTGGCAATCTCTGACAGAAGATCTTTTGGCACATCGGCCATCGATCCTATTTACCAAAGGTTAGCGAGCTATGGGCAATAGCTTAAAGACTATGAACGATGATCGATGCCACCATCGTGATAAGCTCGGCTGATAATGAGCCTAGATGCTGATTATTTCTGGACATGAACCACGATGGTCTTCAAGTAACAGGGCAAAAAACACAGGGAAAGGCAGAATAATGTGATGACGTGTGATTAGTCGATAATCCAAGATGAATGATACTCAAGCAAATGGACTGGGGCATCGCCATAATTCAAGTGCATGTTGGAAAACACTCTTCATACGGTACCGATCCATTCTTGAAATAGCTTTTCTGGTAGGGATAACAAAATGTTGATTTCCAGCTGCAAGGGTCACGATTTCAAGTCCATTAACCTCCGAGAGAAGAAGAAGAAGAAGGCATAACAGCCACTTGGCAGGTCCTTTCACCATTTTCTTTCTTGAATGGATGTTTATCTCCTATTCTTGCAACAAAACGACATAGAAACATACGACTGAGATGGAATGTGGAAAGATGGTCTCATACGTACCCTTTCGGGATGGCGGCTTTCGAGGACCTAGACCAACCATCTTGGTGATAAAATCGTGTCAGTCGTGGGAATATAAGATGTCGGTAAATAAAGGTAAAAATATTTAATATAGTTGTCTTATGTCCGGATGTTAGTCAGAATGTAGGTAATTGATCGACAGAGAGCAGCAGCAAAAGAATATGAGAGCTACCAAGAACAAATGGCGGGGTTGTCTAGATGGTCATATATAACAAAATATTGAGGGATATCTTGAGAGGCCACACGGATACCAGCAATACTTACTCAGCTAAGCCGGCCATCTGCATGGAAGCATATACTGTAAGAATAATTGAGTGGGCGTCGTGGCGTGGGCAGGATGTGGAAATGAAAAGAGAAGAATTGGCAGCCAAGATCCTTCGAGTGACGAGGGGAATTAAGCTCGCCGGCTTGGTGAGAATGAATGCCCCTCCATCCTCGGCCCACAGAATGACTTCAACTAGTTCAGCTTGTAGGTTTCATGTACATGACTAGTACATACTTTATTCGATAGATAGGGTTTAATCGTAGCGTAATCATAACTGAACTATGTACGGATAAGCATGTACATTGTATGTACATGCATGGAGCGATTTACTAAGGCTTCATGTACATATGGATGTAGGTAGGTATCTTCATAGCTGCAACCCTGCTACCCCACCGCCCCATCCCATTCTACAACACCCAGCTGTACCGGAGGATGCATTACCTATCACAACCTCAACATATACCTATATATACCCAGCGAAAGGTGTAAAACCTCAACCTAGTGTTCCTTCGTTTAGTTTAACGAATTTTATGTCTTGGTTACCTCACGATGGTACGATTCTGTATAGGTATTTTCAACTGGACTAAAGTAGAGGCGAGACTACTAATGAAGCCAATATATCTACGCGTCAGCATCAGTCGAATCCTATTAACTCCGTGATGTTGTGTTCCAGTGTGAGCCGGGCTTTAATTGAGGTCTGATACGGATTACCTATCTATGTAGCCCCTCACCCCACGGAAAAGACTTCTTACCTAGTAGTACTGCGTAGACATCTAAGGTACCTAGGGTATTGATAAATACCTTGATATTTACTTCATGTTAGCCTAGTAATGTCAAGGCTAAGACTCATACTCTCATGGGTATTTAGAAAGAAGTCTGGTTGTAAATTGATGCCTACTTCGAAACTTGTTAGCTATGAGGGTCCTATGAATACAATGCGAAGTTCGACAGTTGGCTGGGGTTGTTGAGTCTCAATATACGTTAGGTTAGGTAGCATTTTCCAACCGGCTGCAAGACGCATAGGTGTTTCAGGTACCTTATCTATTTGAAGCTGGTCCTAATACCTCATTGACAGGCTGATGGAGTGATTACATGTACCTAAGATATTGCAGGTCTAGACGGTCGGTTGCATTTAATATGGAGCATACTACGTAATAAGCTTTTTGGGTTTAACTTAATATGGCCTAGCGTAATCAAGCTTCTCGGATTAATACGCTCCCTCAATTCCGAGCTCAAGCTGCATTGGCAACGTAAGCTGTTACTTTTGGAAAGGTGTACAGAGGAAGAGCTATCCGGTAAATCGAGAGAATTAAGGCGAGGGAAACACCCCAAAACAACATCACGACAGCAACGTGTCGAGGGTCTCCCTTCTTCAGATACCTATCTAGACTGTTGCATCGGAGCTACTCATTTGATGAGTGGCCCGTTAGGTCTTTCTTTACCATGAAGTTCACTGCAATTGCAGCTGCTTGCCTTTCACTACTTTCGTATGTCGCGGGCGAGACCAACGTCGCCGGGCCATCGTCGTCTAAAGTCACACTTCCAGCCACCTTTAAGCCCCCACAGGTCTTCAAAAATGCCAATTTAGTACATGTTATTTCGTTAGAGAAGAACTCTGCCAAGGAGAATATCAATGTCCTGATCGAAAACGTGTCGTCGGAACCGCAAGATGAATACTTCCTCCCTTTCACGAGCGACCAAATGGAGCGGGTGGGCGGCATCGAGGTGAAGGATAGGAAAGATGCCACTGTATCTGGCTTCAAAGTGGAAGCTGTCGAATTTGACCCTCTCAGGTAAAGACAACCCCCGCTAGCAAATTGCCAATCTCTCGTTGACACAGTGCTGCCAGCGACACTCAGTACTATCGGATCCGGTTGCCCACACCCCTATCGCCAAAAAGCCAACAGACTCTGGGGATCTCCTTTTACTATCTCAACTCATTCCAACCATTACCGGCTGCGATCGATCAAACCGACAAGCAGTAC